GATAAATGAGTAGTCTTTTTCATGAGATAGATGCTGTTGACCATTTTTGCAAGACCCTTTTTCTGAATCATTAGGAATTCTGTGGATCCCTATCCAGTGAAAAATGCAATTATCTTATGCTAGCACTACTCTTGTTTCCTGTCACTGGAGCACAAGCTAAATTTCAGATATCCTCATAATACTCTTAATTATGGTCTTGTAAATTGTTCATGCTAAAGCCCATTGAGAGCTCTATGAGAGACATGACTTGGAATGTATTGGTGGAATGTACTCATTTAAATACATAAAACATCTGGGAAATACATGTTTCATGTGAACTGGTTTCTAAAGAGCTCTGTATACTGAAATTAATTGCAAATATAGTGCCACAAAGCCATCTATTTGCAATTGTGTTAATCTTCACTGATTTATCACTTCTAAAAATTCAGTTTCAGTATTATCGCAGCAATACCCAGAGGGAACTGAGCCCCCAGTTTACACTTGCAGACATATTTTATGCTATGCATTGCATTAAACCATTTTTTTTGTCTTAGAAAAAAATAATTTCAAATTGCTTTCTGTTTCTTAGGAGTAGCAATAGTGATGGGAGCCCAGGTGACATTTTCCTTGATCTTCCTGGGCAAAGAGAAAAGACCTGGGCTGGGGCATACACGTTCTGCAGATTAACACCCTTCTGCATAGCAGGCGTTGTTGGCAGGACTCGAGCTTCTAGAAAGCCATCTTTGGGGAACAAGGACTAGCAGAGATGGGTTCCATGTGACATCTTTGTCAATGGGCTTGCAAAATTATTGAGGGGGTCTTTAAGTTAGGTCCATCAGTGGGTGGAAGCATACACTGGACAGGGCAACAGGGGAGGTTCTCTCCCATCCAAGGAAGTTGGACAATGAAGGGCCTGCCTCAAGTGCATGTATACTAATGTATGCAGCTTGGGAAACCAACAGGAGAAACTAGATGTCTGTGTGCAGTTGAAGAGTTGTGATGATACAGGAATTAGAGACATGATGGGAGAGTTCATGTGAAGGAAGTATGGCAATGCATAGATAGAGGTGCTCTTTCACAAAGGCAAGGAAGGTGAGGGCTGAGGCTGGTTTTGTGCTCTATGTAAAGGCTGCTATGGACAAAGGTTTACAGGCCTTTGGAGAGCTTTCTTGTCAGGATCACACTGAGGGCTGCAATGGCAACATCATGATCGGTGCCTGCTCTAGGCCACCTCATCAAGGACAGGAGGTGGGTGAAGCCCCCTTCAACTAGGGAGAAGTCATCTCTTGATTGCAGGTCCTGGTTCTCATGGGGACTTGACAATCCCAACATCTGAGAGGGCGATGTGGAGGAGGGACAAGCAATCCAAGAGATTTTATGGGCATCAGGGACAATTTTTTTGGCAAAGGTGCTGGACAGGCTGAATACAGGAGGTGCTCTCCTGGATCTGCTGCTCACAAACCAGAAGGAGCTGGTCAGGGAATGACAATCAGTGGCAGCCTTGGCTGTAGTGTCTGAGATAGCAGTGCTTAGGATCCTCATGAAAAAGGTGCAGCTGTTATTACTGGGGAAGCAGGGACTGCCATGACAGGGATTTTTCTGAGACAGCAGGTGAGTCTCAAATAAACAAGCATTGATTTATGCTGCAGCTACAAAGTAATCCATCTGTTACTAACTGAAAATTAAGCATTAATCAAACATTAGTCAAGCCTTATTAGGTATATGATCCCATGAGTCTGATGCCGAGTTGTTGGCTACAATCGCTGCTATCTTCAGTTCTTGGTCTTCTTGCAACTAAGGAAAGCAAACAGGTATTACAAAACATTTTCTTTCAGTCAAGCAGTTCTGTGGTATATCTGGGTGCAAGGCAAACAGGATGTGTTTCACAAACAGGCCTTCATATTACAGAAATGAGGAAAAGATGGAATATACTAAAGGCTGTGACTTTAGGGGAACAGACTTCGGCTTCTTCAGCAATCCAGTAGGCAAGACATCTTGGGAGGCTGTCCTGAAGTGCAAAGGAGCCCAGGAGAGCTGGTGGATCTTTAGGGACAAATAAAAGCAGAATAATAGTCCACCCTGAAATGCAAGGTGGGACCTCAACAGGCTGGAGGAATGGGCTGACAGGAACCTCATAAAATTCAGCAAAGCCAAATGCACAGTCCTGCACCTGAGATGGAGTAACTGCATAAATCAGTACAGGCTGGAGACTGAAAAATTAGGTAGCAGCTGTGCAAAAAGGGCTTGGGGGTTCTATGGACTAGTCGGGTATGAGTCAGCAAAGGGCTTTTGCAGCAATGAAAGCTAACAGTATGCTGGGCTGCATTAGCAAGACAATTACAGCCAGCAGATCAAGGGGAATGATTACTCCCCTCTACTTGGCACTTGTGAGGCCATATCTGGAATTCTGTGCCAAGTTTTGGGCCACCCAGTATAAGAGAGAGTTTGACAACTTGGAGAGACTGCATAAAATTTATTTTGTTGGACTAGTAAGTCATAGAAATTGGAAGTGGAGGAAATTGCTCGGACCATCCCATAATATATTTTTACCTTGAAATTAAGTTATATTTTGTTCAAAAGTTGCAGTACAAGGTACAAATTAAGTTCATGCAACCTGGAGCCAAAAACCCTCACCACTTTCATGGAGGAAGCATGTTCTTCCTTTGGCTTACTGAGTAACTCAGGCACTTAAGCTACATGTTTTGCCTCACAGTACTTGTGTGGCAGCTCGTTCTGAGCTCATGCAGACTGTGCTTTTCAGCAGTTACTGTCCCCAGTAACTAGTTTATTGGTTTTTAGCCAGTTACTCTGCTCATTTTGCTTTATAGTTGACCAGTAATAACAAATCTCATGACAACAGACCTCAAGACTTACCCAATTTCCTTGAAACCAACTTCAGCCTCCTTATACTTGATCTCACACCTGATCCTCAAAAGAAACTACCATATACCTTCCAAACATGATTCTTAGAAGTAAAACCAGTATCTGAGCTACACACCAATACAGGGCTTAATACAAGTAATTTTGGTTTATGCCAGCGCTTAATCTGCCCCCCTTCCCACGATTAACCTCTTCGAGTTCCAGAATCTGTAAGGTACACATCTCTAGCTTTTTCTGCAAAATACCTGTAACATCACCTTTTTCATCACACCTCTCTACTTCCTTTACCTGCAAAATTGCCCTCTAATCCAGATGTATCAACTGTTTTTACCTAGACACTAAACCCTAAATTTATATTTAGTTTTGAAGCTTAATGCTTCTATCTTGAAGCATTTGAGTTGAAGAAGGGCTTGTATGTCTGAAAGGTTAGGAAGACCATTACAGGAAGACAGGAAAATTTGAGAAACGCCTAGCACATCGTTGGTAACAAACAGGTGAAATATAAACTGGAGCTCAGATAAGCCTACAATCTAGAATAAGATGGAGATGAGTCTTCTGTTCCCTAAACTGATAATTCACCACTCTTTCTGTTATGATATTTACTAGAAATAACAGCTCTTTTCTCACCAGTTCACCTTTGTAGGTACTAAGGACTGGAGGAACTACTGGTATTGTAAGACCAGAAGACATTACTGTTTTCCATAGCCATATAAATTTCAGCATTACTCCATCTATTTTGATGACACTAGCCAATTCTACTACAGCATTACCATCACCGGGACTATGGGCAATAATGCTGCTACCATTTCTCAGGGAGCACTGAAATATGTAGATACGTATACCTTGTCACTGTTTCCTAAGCCTGTTTCTTCTATGTTCTTCTCTGCACCAGCAAAGACTCTAAAGTATCCCTACTGCATGGAAAAAGTCCATTTCAGGATCATGGAATTCAGCTCCTGGCGATAACCAGCCTTTTGCAGATATGGCCAATGACAGCAGACATGATCATCAGGATAAACCAGACAAATATTCAGAGTTTCTGAGGTTGAAGTAATAAGCTTCCCCCTCCTCTTTATTCTCATTTCTTTTTCCAAGGTCCCAGCTACATGATAGAGATGGTAGCGTCATATGCAAAACTGGGCATCTCTGCTGACCATTAGCTTGTTTTTCCCTCAGCACTTTTGGCAAGACTGTTGAGAAACAGAAGCAGCTATCTTTCACAACTGCATGTTGGATCTGGCTGTATCAAGAACCACTTTGTGGTCACAGGTTTCCAGAAAATACCTGTCCTTGAGAGTGACTGTCCTCAAAGGGACAGGAGAGGTCAAATAAAGGTGTTTGTGGGCTAATGCTACCATACAGTCTACACGAGAGGACTGTATATGGATGCTGAGATCAGTCTGGACAGGCTGTGGTTTTGCAGGCTGCTGACTGTTACTTATTCCACAGCTTTCATCTTTGCCCAAGGAGACCTTTCCGGCACAACGCTTATTTGCCGTATTACAGTTGTTAGCAGGCACCGTTGTACCAGACTGTCCCCGTTTGGCCCAGGGCCCGATGCGCAGCCTGAAGGTGGAAGCTCTTTCCTCTCTCATGAGAAAACCTGGATGAAACCTGAGGGTCCAGGTTAGGAAGCTGAAATTGTGGGAACGAGTCGCCTCAGAGGCCAGGTAAGCAGAGGAAGTTCCCACCTTCTTCCCCAAGAGCTTTCTGGAAAAAAAGAGGGGACAACGCAGGTCTTCCCGCCCGGCCTGACCCCGCGCCCCCTTTACCCCCTTCTCCCCTGCGGGCCTAAACCACGCCGCCCGCTCTTGGCTTCTCCTTCAAGTATGAAGGACCTTGACGTTTCGCCCCGGGGCATGGCGCTGCCCCGCGGCCGCAGCGGCACAAAGTACACGGGGTGGTGCCCCAAGCTGGCGGCGGTGCCGGGGCTCGGCCCGGCCCCTCTCCCTCACCTCCCCCCCCGGGGCGAGGGGCA